GTATGGCACCCAAGGTGATGATCCCAAAATGCGCCCCCATTCTTTCAATGGTGGCAAACAGCTTTCCTTTGGCAGTGATGTATTTAAAGATTTGTTTGATGTTTAAATGTTTTAAAGCCAAAAAGAAGTAAATATAAGGAAAAAAAATACATTTGTATTTCCAGTGTGACCTGTGTTGGTCATTTTAAGCGCCAAGTGTTACTATAAATATGAAATGCTCATTTTATTCTGCAATTTGTCTTTTTTTATTTTGACACCAAAATAATGTTTTTTTTCTATAGAGAACTGAGGCACTTTATTACTGAAACGTCATGTGCCCATACAGTGTGCATTGTAAATGAGTTTACATATAACTATAATAAAACAACAACTGTAAGAATGAACTTCCCCTTCGATGAAGGGGGCTTTCGTTGCTCACAGGTAAAAAATATATTTCCACTATATGGCCAAACATTTTTGGCCACCTAACATCACAACTAACTATATGACCAAAAGTATGTGAACAACCCCCCAAATGTTTGAGCTCCTCCACAAAGCCAGCTCTATAAAGGGTCTGATGAGTTTGGTGTGAGCCCTGACCTTAACCCTGAGGAATACATTTAGGATGAACCGGAACACCAGTTGTGAGCCAGGTCTTCTCCTACATCATCAGTACCTGACCTCACAATTCTCTTTTAGCTGAATGGGCACAAATTCCCACAGACACACTCCACTCCACCTTATGGAAAGCCTTCTCTAGAAGAGTGGAGGCTGCTGGAGCCACAAAGGGGGCCGTCTCCATATTATTGCCCATGGTTTTGGCACAGGATGCCTAACAAGTTTACATAGGGGTGATGGTTAGGTGTCCACAAACTTTTGGCCTCATAGTGTACCTCTAAGTAGCCCCAAAGGGAAGATCAAGTGCCATAAAGTTCCTCTGATAATCTCCCCCCTATTTGCTCTGTTTCTACTTTAAGCCCTCGTTCACACCTGAACGTTTTGTAGCGCGTTCTACGCTCGACGAACGCTCTACAAAACGCTCAAAAATATAAATCCCATTGTATTCAATGGTCTCGTTCCCACCTTGGCGTATTTCCGCCCGTCCCTAACGCGCTACAAAACGGCCCACGCCTGAAAAGGTACAGGTACTACTTTGGCCCGTTTTGTTGCGCGTTTCCATTGGGATACAGCCAAGTAGCCTTCGGAAACGCGCGACGGTCGCGCGACTTTTTTTACCGCGAATCACGGTAAAAAAAAGCGCGACGGTCGCGCGACAGACGCGCATATGCAATACGCCTAGGTGTAAACGAGACCTTAGAATAAGGCTTGTTCACACCAAGCGCGGAGCAGATCCAGAGCAGAGCAAGTGCAGACCGGATGAAAACTGCGTCCAATGTATTCCTATGGTATTTTGAGCTCCAGTTCACATCGCAGCGTGCAGATCCAGAGTAGGTAAAAAATGCTGCAGGCCCTATTTTACCTGCGCTGGATCTGCAAACGCATCAAAAACACATGCAAATGCCTGGAACGCACTGAAAGCCCATGTTAAACTAAAAAAAAAAAATATTTTTTTTAGCCAAAAACGCGTCAAAAAGACTAGCGTGCGTGTGCAGAAACCTGACCGGATCTGCTCTGCATTCGTGTGAACAAGGCCTAAGGTTTCAGCCTCATAAGTTTTAAATCGAAGATGTGTGGTTAGGAGCGGCTCCCAAAAAATGGTCATCTCCCTTCAAGGGTCAAAACAATGGTCATCTCCCTCGAAGGTTCATCTAAGCTGTTCATCCAAATAGATGGCAGATACAGACAGTGAGGGGACAAAATCTGGAGCAGCTGTGCATGGCAACCAACATCTCTCTCTAATTTTCATATCTTAACTGAACAAACTTAAAGTGACATTAAACCCTCAGATTTTTTAACATAAACCAATACTGTAGCTGATTGGCTGCCATGCACAGCAGCTCCAGATCCCGTCCACTCCAGTTTTGCTAAATTCCCCCCATTGTGTTTCGGGGAATCAGGCTCCCCCTTCCTCAGAATCATTTATCACTGCAAACAGGTACGATGACACTCAGCGCTCATCTAGCCCTAATTTAGGCCACAAAGTACAGCTTTTCTTATTGGTGTTGCTCAAGCCCCGAAGAAGGGTGAGCCTGATTCCCCTGAAACGTTTTGGCTGTATCTGACATATCCACCTAAATAAACAACCCAGATGAACCTCCAAGCGAGATGGCAATCCTTTTAAATAGGCGCTCCCAACCGCACATCCAGGACTCAAACTTCTTTTGAGCGATTCCCTCATCTCGAGCAGAAAGGCAGCAACCTTGGACCGTAACCAGGTCCTTACTTTAAACATACATTGTCATTATGGGTTGCTCCCCCAAGGAGTACATCCCCCATTCTTTCAGATTCACGGTGTAGTTTTTTTTTAACATTTATGTTACAAACAACATACAAATGAAATAAAGGAAGACACACACACACATTTCATATTAAAAGTATAAATTAAAAAAGACAAGTGGCCAAAAAAAGGAAAGCAGACAAAGAATTAGGCCTGGCTCACACCTAGGTGACAATGTTTTTACGCGCATTTGTAATGTGCGTTTTTGAGCGTTTTTGGTGAGCAGATTGTAGCTCATTGATGTTAATGAGAAAAAGCGCATTAAAACACAGCAAATGGGTGTTTTCAAGCATTTCCTATTGAGTCTATGTGGCCAAAACGAGCTGTATGTGCCAAACAAAAAGCTGTACTTTTTCCAGCGACATGCGCTTTGCTTATTGCTACTAAACGCTCAAATGTGAACAGGGCCATAGAAATAAAAGGGATTTTTTTTTTTTTTTTAGATCTGTGGTCCAAAAGGGCTGTAAATGTCCCCCCCCCCCCCCCCCAAAAAAGAAGCTCATGTACTTTTTCCAGTGAAAGACGTACAAAACGCTCAGATGTAAACTGGGCCATAGAAATGAATTGGGTTTATTTGTGGCAGATTTTTGGAGCATTTTTCTTGGGCAGAAAAAGCGCAACAAAACGCTCGGTGTGAACCAGGACTTAATTAGGGCTAATTAAGTGTAACAAAGGGTTAATGATATTAATAATGGGTTACATAGCAAAACGTTTTATTTTACAAAAACATTTTTTATTGGCTTGTAGAATAAAACAATACAAAACTGGAGCCGATTCACAGCAGCAGCTAGGCTACAACGCACGGCTACGGAGGACCTAATGGAGTGTACACGTTGTACACTCTATATGAAAAGATTGTATAGTTAGGCCCCATTCACACCTGACCGTTTTGTAGCGCGTCCTACGCTCGACGAACGCTCTACAAAACGGTCAAAAAAATAAATAGCATTGTAGTCAATGCCCTCGTTCCCACCTTGGCGTATTTCCGCCCGTCCCTAACGCGCTACAAAACGGCCCACGCCTGAAAAGGTCCCGGGACTACTTTGGGCCGTTTTGTAGGGCGTTTTCCATTTGGATACTGCCAAGTAGCCTTTGGAATCGCGCGACGGTCGCGCAACTTTTTTACCGCGAATCGCGGTAAAAAAACCGCGTGGCGGTCGCGCGACAGACGCGCATATTACAATACGCCTAGGTGTGAATGGGGCCTTAGGCTCCATTCACACAGAGCGGTAGCGTTTTCCACACAGACGATAACATACGCGCAGATTCCACGCGTTTGCAGCTATTACTACAGCCGAAACGTGCGGAATCCACCCATAAAATCGCCGTTTCCTACACCCACTCATGTGTGAATGAAGCATAATACAGCGCACACTACTGGAGCTGTCACAACGCACTAGCACGTCCACTAAAACAGAGCAGTTTAATGGATGGGCTAGTGTGAATGTGCCGTAAAGCGTACGCATGAATGCATGTTCCTCCACACATGCAAAACACCAGCTCTTTGTGCGTCCGGGTGACATCCCAACGCACTGTACAGTAGAGCCCATTGCACCGCAGCACACCATATGCTGTGCGGTATAGTACGTACACTGCGTTAAAAAAAAGCCCCATGCAAGTTTTTTGCTTCATTGGCACTCATTTATAATGATGAATTGGCGGCCTTACCACAATACATGTTAACGCACCACAACTGCACACTTAAGGGCCAATTCACACCAGCCGCTGCGCAAAACACACAGCAGCTGGTGTGCAGTGCCAATGCCAAGATCCTGGCACATTGCACTTTTTTTTTTTTTGAACTTTATTGAAATGTCGCAAGTTCTATGTGTACAGTGGGGTAAGAGGCGGTTGTACTGCGTCCCATCTGGTGGTGTGAATGGTGTCCACTGTGAGAAGGCAAATTGTATGTGTTGTGAATGGACCCTTAAATGTGAATGGGCCCTAAGAGAGACATTGGAGAAAGGGGCACAGGGGGTGCTTGCGTCCAACAAAGGGACAATCCCTTTAAATGACAGCTCTGCACCCCCCTCCATCATTCATCCAGTTCCCGCTGTCTCGGCTGGATTTGCGGCTGCTATGTTTGGGTAACCATAGGACCAGACACCCGCTTTTTTCCCCGCCGCGGGTCCCTCTGCCATGACAAGCCACCATCAGGGTCGGTGTGGCGGCAGTGAGAGCGCCTCGGACAAGAGCAGCGACTCCCAATTAATATCAGAAAGGTAACGTCAGGTAAGGCAACGATCCGGCGACGTCACCCAGCAGCAGGCTACATTGAATATGCAGGTGGAGCAGGGAATCCTCAGCACGAGCAGCCAATCACGAGGAGGAGGCGGGGTCTTCCCGCTGCACCAGCCGCCCCGCGATGTCCAAGAACAATGAAGCCCGAGCAGAGGGATTCCCTCTAGTGACGTCACGGCTCCAACCTTTCCTCCTCGTGCTGCGAACTCCTCCACCAATCAGGACGAAGGACAGGTGATTCCCGCTACTGCAGCCGCTAGTTCTCTACCTTTATATAGAAGAATAGGACCCTGGGGAGCATCATAGGGACCAGACAAAGAGAACGGAGATCCAGGTGGGAAAGCAACCAGCACAGATAGAAGCTGTTCTCCTGATCTGAGTTATGGAGTGGAAGCTGGAAAGGCTGTCTGTCCCTAAAGTCAGAAGAGACGAGGGGGTTATGTGGGTGAGTGTGCAATCCTGAGCCACTTTCTGATGATCCTCATTGTTCTCATCAATGATAAATGATGTGACATTATCTCTCTCTTAGGAAAGTATTATGAAAACTCTTGGAAGAGATTTGAAGAGGAGCAGGAAATCGAATTTACAGAGAATCAACAAGGTCAGTTCTTCAGTGATTTCATTCTGGAGTTCTTGTACAGTAAGCACTGTGATAACTTTGGGTTAAAGTGTATGTAAAGCCAAAACTAGATAACCTAGGGAAGGGTTAAAACCTCCATCTGGTTATTTTTTGCTGCCTGTGTCCCAAAAGAGCAAATTCTCTTCACTTCCTGTTCAGGAGATGCAGCAGGAAATAAAAAGACATCTCTCCAAAGTGAATAGCATTCTTTTCTTAGCTGTCATAGGAACAGGTGTACCCATGGGAATATTTTCCTCAGGTCTTCCTCTGGTGAGATTTCCCTTCACTTTCTGTATAATTAGAGACAACAATAACAATCGCTTGGCCTCTAAAACTTCCCTACTCTATATACAATGTTGAAGAAAAAAAATACAGTTTGCCTTTACATACAGTTTAAAGTGTATATCCACTTTTGCAGCCAAATTGGGATAACACCTATTGTACTTCTACTTGTTCTACTTTAATAACGAAGAATTGGTGCTTCCAGCAATCCTATATAACTTCCCCGTGCTATGTAACGTTAAGGAGGGGGCTGGGGAGTTCTGCTAACCCTAATTAACCCTGACTGTACCGTGCTGGCAGATCTCCATTATCAGTTGCAACCTAGATGTGCAAGACAAAGGGTTAAAGATCTCAAGGCTTGGGTGATACATTGTATGGTAATATTTAAGCGATTGTATGATTGGGGACCCATCTCCTGATTGTTTCCGGGAGCTCTGTCGGTGTCCTGGGAGTGTACAGTAAGCACCATCTCAGCACACAGCAGTGGAATCCCATACATGCAGGAGCCTGGCATTAGGGCCCATCTGCAGCATATATGTAGTATGTCACCAGGAAGAGGTTAAAGGAGAACTATGTGTGACAATGAAACTGTCACAGGTCGGCTCATACCGTCGCTCGCTCACTTCTCGATCCTGTCCCTGCAGAGAGCCGTGACTGTCACTCACGGCTCCCTGCAGGGATTCCCCCCTCCGATCCCCCAGCGCTGACTGGCGGAACGGACGGGTACAGCTGGCTCTGCCTCTAGATAGGCAGAGCCAGCTGTCCCTCACGCAGCTGGGTGGATCTCAACAGTAATGTCGGGATCCGTCCCGGCTGCGGCGGTCTCAGTATACCGGGAGCTGTAGCTCGCCGTATACTGTGGTTTGGGTGAGTGGAGGACGCTTGTTTGTGTCCTCCCGTGACCCTGAGGAGAACTATGGGGAAGAAACTTACCCCATAGTTCTCCTTTAAAATTGTGAAACACAAGATAGTGTGACATATCGCATAGTATACGGTATATACACTGGGGGGTGGATTTAGCAAGGAAGTCATTTTCATTCTTGGAGAAGTAAGGAAACACTATAGCAAACAGAGATTCACCCAGTGTGAAAATAACTAACCAACCCCAATTTATGTACAAAGATGTAAAAACGGGCAAATACACTGAAATGTTAGGTCTGAGCTGACCATCAGACTTCCTTTTTCTTTATTCTTACATAAGTGCCGCTACCTTAAAGAAGAAAAAATGATGTTAACCCTTGCTGTGGGGCTACCCCCTGCATTGCAAGGGTTAAATGCTCGCTTTCGTCTAGGAGCGAAAATAACAAAGTTATACTCACCCGCCCGATGCTCTGAGCCGGCCGGCTGTGACAGCGCTCCCTCCAGCCTGTCTCCTTCTATGCTGCAGCGATGGTATGTTCCTTGGCGTCCTCATGTCCTATACACTGTGCATAGAAAATGATGACTTGAGGATCCTTAGACCGCTGCAGCGGGGAGGGAATAACCCAGTCTAAGAGCAAGCCGGCTCAGAGGATCGGGTGAGTATAACTTTTTTAATTCCCCCCCCCTCCCTGGACCAAGGCGAGCAGTAAACCCTTGCAGTGCAGGGGTAGCCCCTCAGCAAGGGTTAATACAAGTTTTACCCAGAGTTCTTTAATTATGTACAAAGATGTAAAAAAGGGACAAATACATTGAGATGCCTTATAGGTCTGGGTGTGCTGACCATCAGACTTACTTTTTCTTTTCTTTTTTTCACACAAGTGCCGCTACCTTGAGTAATATTTCCTGCTGAGAAGGATTAGGACATGCATAAAGTGGGTACAGGTTGTCTAAAAGGGGCAGTGCTTTATAATGGTTTGAGGAATGAGTTTACAATTATGCACCAGAACCAGGTCAGCGAACTCTCCAGTATATTTCTGAATCGGGATGCTACGTGATGGGCCGGTGAGGCAGTGCATTGCTAGCTGGCTGTTCTGATCTCATAACTAACAGTTGCTGGATGCACGCCACACTGTTCTATCTCTGAGCTGCAATTGAAGGAGTGCTTGCGCCATCTAGTGGAAATAAATATATCTGCAACAAGTAAAGTTGTACTTCCGTTGTAACCAACATGCCATCATCTACTGCTACATATACACTTGTGAAGAAATAGCTGCCTGGAGAGATCTATTTGCTGGTAAACCAGTTTCAGGTAGGCAGTGTATTTTAGCTGGCTGCTTGTTATCCAGTCCAGCAGTCGCTGATACCTTGCCACCTGCATCTGAGAATGGCTTCACTACACTGGAGTTCAGTATGTGAGAAGAAGGCAGTGTAATGTTAGCTGGTTGCTAGTTAAATACACCAGTTAACTCGCATGTGCCATCTTTCTGCATGCGCTTTCACCAAATACATCTGCTTCTCCTAAATACAAGTTTAGAATTCATCAGTTTTCCTGCATTATAGAACGGATGTCTTTTATAATGGACTTAAAGTGACACTAGACTCGGGAGTTAAATCTTAAAAATTTATTCAAGTACCTCACATATTAACAAAAATTTATGTTATTTGTGTACCACTCGGCTGGAGATCCTCCAATCATCTCTGAATTCATGCCAACACTGTCTTTCCTTCTGGAGGGGGGCTACTTTTGTTCCCCATGGTCCCTGTGTGTGTTGTAAAGTAGTCACCGCTCCAAGCTTGCGCCTGTAATGGACGACAATCTCACATTTACTTTACTAATTTGTATTGAGATTGTAGTCCATCACAGGAGTGAGCTTGAAGCGGTGACTATTTTACAACACACGCTGATAGTAATCATAAACTACATTTAAAATATGTCTGGGTTGCCCAGCTTCCTCTGAGTCTGTGGGCTTAACTCCAGGTACATAACCTGTACTGATCTGCCCAAACTTGACTTTACAGATACATATACAAATGTTTTTAGATTGTAAGCTCCTGTGAGTAGGGCCCTCTTAATCCTCTTCTATTGATTTGTATTGTAACTGTACTGTGTCCCTCTGCTTTGTAAAGTGCAGCACAAACTGTTGTAGAACAAACTGATACAAGGACCTATGTGTGTATGTGAGGGTGTGTTTGTACGCATATATGTATGTATGTGTGTGTGTATGTACATGTATATGTATGTGTGTGTGTGTGTGTGTGTGTACACATACGCACACATCAACAATAGGTTGGATTTGATGGACGTATGTCTTTATTCAACCTCAAATACTATGTAACTATGTAACTATAATACTAATATTACATGTTTAGCCGGTGCTTCCTGTGTGCTGTCACTGTGATTGTTCAGTCTTGGAGGCTTATTCAGTAAAGCAGTGCAGGAGGTAATGGTGCTGTGCAAAGTGTAGTAAACCCTGGAAACCAATCTGATTTTAGTTGACTGACTCATTGACTCATATCAGTTATTGTGATTTCTGATTGATTACTGTGGGCTTCTGCACTCTGCACATCATCACCGCACTCTGCACCACCTTATTGAATAAAGTCTAATAACTTCACACGCAGCCAAGGAAACCCGGCCTAGTTTAATATGTGTGGTGATTAGGCAGTGTATCGTTAGTTAGCTGTGATATACAGATCAGCTACTACATACACTACCACATCAGCACACGTTATGTCATCTGGATATAGGGGCATAGGCAAATAGCAAAGATTAGACAGAATAGTAATCACGGCATTAACTTGCAATTTTTTAAAAATGTTATCATAACTATTACAGGTACATTCTAATGAATTACAACAGATAAACTGGTTTATGCAAACTTATATTTAATCATCTTCATAAAAATCATCTTTTGTTTAATCCAAAATAACAGACTGAACCTATCTGTGTCAGGGCTGTAGCTACCATGGGGCGAGTGAGGCACTCGCCTCAGGCGCAGCTGAGAGGGGATGCAGTCAGGGCCAGCCTGGCTGCGTCCCCTCGCCCTTGTTGCCATGGCGAGCACAGGGTGCGATGGCAACAGGGGCACCAGGTGGCCAACACAGCCGCAGCACAGGCTTCAGCTTCTCCTCGGATCACCGCTGCTCTCCCCCGCCTGTATGGACAGAGGCAGTGGGGATCCGATGAGAAATGGAGCGCTGCAGTCAGCGGCATGGCGGATGAGGGAGCTGTCATTCAGGACGGCCTAGTGGTGAGGAGAGAGAGAGAGCCGCTCTGCCAGGACCTGACAGCCAGTGGCTCTTTCTCCCATCATTGCTCGGCCATCTTGAAATGACAGCGCTCCCTCCTCTGCCCCGCGCCCCCCGCCGGTTCTAGCTCTCAGGATGGCAGAGTGGAGGATTGGTAAATCAGTGATATATACCGATGCTCTTTGGTGTTTGTAAATAACTGGAGACACGTGTCCCCAGTTATGAATGAACAGGAAGTGCCTTACATCACTTCCTATTCATTCATGAGTTTCTCAATGGGTGGAAGCACTCACTATAGAGGCTTTTACCCATCGATAACTGGATGATAGAAAATATTTTTCTATCACCAGTTTCTGAATGAATGGGATGCCTCTGCACTGAATGCTTTCCATTCTATGAGAGCAGATGCTGCAGAAAAAGAGATTGAGGACTCTGTGTCTCTGAGGACTCTGTGTCCGCAATTTCTTTTTCTATTTCAAAAGGGAAATGTCTGGGGTCTGTTTAGACCCCTAATATTTCCCTGACGCCCCCCAACAGTAAACAAAATTAAACAATAATAATGATAAAAAATAACCCCCCCACACATATAAACACACACACTCATGCACACATATTACTAGACATGTGCAAAGACTAAAAATTTGTTTTGGACGAAATGAACAGAAACTAAAAATGTTTTCATTAGTTTCATCAAACAAAACAAATTTGTATGCTATTTTGGAGTTGGCCACCAGCTAAATCTGCGCATGCGCGCTGCCATCCTGGAGGCGGGGCGCATGACCTCACATGATGCCGTGCGTGTGCCGCGTCAGGTGACATCCCACGTCTGTTGGGGGGGCACAATTTTCTGTTCTTGCCTTGGGCGCAAAAGGAGCTATCTATAGCTCTGATCTGTGTTACTCCGCTTCAATCAATCAGGTTCCAGTAGTCTATCATCTAGTGCAGATTTAAAGAAAAGAAAGTATTGACTGTCTCTAATGGGGCAACTTGACTGATTCGTATTGCAGACACTTCAATAATTGGGGTTCTATGTTAACTATTTCAATCACTGTGCACATGTGAGTACTATTAAATGCATAGTGGTGAATGTAAACAGGAAATATGTGGTAATTTGTATTTGTTTTTTGGTCTATAGCCCAAACTTTTTATTTCTTAGTTTTGAATAGAGTAGGTAATGGTTAAAGTTTTTTTTCCATCGGTGTCCCATTGGGGAAGATCTTCCTTCCCTTCCTGTCCCAGAGAAACAACAGAAAGTCAGAGACCTCAGAAGCTAGCCATACATGGTTAGAATTTCACTATAAAACGTTCATTCGATTTTCTATTAGTTAATGGGGACAAATCAGTGAATGTTTTTGACCATCATAACAAGAAATATCAAAGGCTCAGGTTAGAAATGTTTCCTCATCTGAAGAGGTGAAATTCAAACTGCTAATGTGATCTTAAGTCGGGAAAAACGGAATCATGTACTAGGGAACCGTTAATCTGGAATTAGATCTTTCTTAGTCGCGAACATTCATCTGTTTGTTTAAATGATTATTATATTATTGGTTATAGGGATGTACGAAAGAACAATACAAACAAAGGTTTCTGTATAGTGTATGTAAAATTGGATATAAAAGTAGATTATAGTATATATATATATGTTATAGCCACTAGAACATATACTAGCGTCCTCCCGTGACCCAAAACTCAGTATATCGTGAGCTACAGCTTGCGGTATACTGAGACCGCCGCAGCCGGGATGGATCCCGACAATACTGTCTGGATCCACCCAGCTGCGTGATTGACAGCTGGCTCTGCTTATCTAGAGGCAGAGCTAGCTGTACCCGCCCCCTCCCCCAGTCAGCGCTGGAGGATCGGAGCGGGGAGGGGGGGAATCCCTGCAGGGGGCCGTGACTGGCCGCACCTGCTCTCTGGCGGGAGATGACCGAGAAGTGAGTAAGCGACGGTATGTGATCGCTCACTTCCCGATCTATTGTCACAGGTCGGCTCGAACTACGAGGATGAGTGATTTTCACTCACCTCATAGTTCTCCTTTAACTCTTGCAGTGAGGGGTTAGGCAGTTTTGCCCCGAGTCCTGCTTTAAAGAACAAACGCCATCAGCATGTGGCAGATACACACAAGTACAATTGACCTCAGCACATTTCTAGAACCATAAGCAGCAAACACAATAGAGTGGCATTTCCCCACTTCTAAAATGTACTTCTTTATAATAAACTTTCATCTTGCACCTTTGTTTGATCCAAGCAATTCTTTATAAACAATTAAAAAAAGAAGCTAATGATTAAGGAACTTCGCAAACAATAACAAATAATTAGAAAACATGAAATAAAAAATATTTTTATTATTTGAAGAAACTTATCCAGAATGGAAAAACTGAGTTTTCGATGGACCTGAGCACAGCTTGGGCCCTATTTGTGACTCACTTGGGGCCCAGTATGTCTGAGATCTGGTAGAGGAAGTCCTGTACCCTTTCACCTCTTCATAATGTTTTCAAAAATAACTTTTTTTATTAACTCTTGCAGTTAGGCTACCCCCACGCTGCATGGGTTAGGCCTCATTCACACGAGAAAAGGCCACACGTACAGCTGCGTGCACGGCCGTATCGGGCGGCTCCCGGGAAGGACAGGTGCTGCGTGTGATTAGTATGCATCCAATGTCCTTCTCTATGGGAGTACGTGACCGTACTTCGCCCTATGCTCACCTCAAGTGCAGGTCCGTACGGGTGCGGCTGTCCCAGCCCGGACGCAGACAGGATCCATCCTGTCAGCGTGCAAGCACGGACACCCGCACGGATGTGCAGGGAGCGGGTGAGCGTAGGGCGGCGTACGGCTGCGTACTCCCATAGAGAAGGACATTGGATGCATACTAATCACACGCAGCACCTGTCCTTCCTGGGAGCTACCCGATACGGCCGTGCACGCAGCCTGGAGCTGTATGGGCCGCCTGTTTCTCGTGTGAATGGGGCATAAATGGCTCGTTTTGGTCTAGGGAGAAAAATAACAAAGTTATACTCACTGATCCTCTGAGCCGGCTTGCTCTTTGACTGGTCTCTGGAGCCTCTCTCCCCTTCCGCTGCTGGTCCGTGAGTCAACACATTCTTTACACTGTGTAGAACGTGAAGACACAGAGGGACATACCTTTGCTGCAGCGAAGGAGGAGGCTGGCTGGTTCTGCCTTTAAAGTGCTCCAACAATAAGAGCAATGTTGAATGATAATGTACTCATTTAAAGAGTGACACTTCTTGTCTGACAAATTTGATAAATCAGGGAAGTGTAATGATAAATTGTGTAAGTAGTTTTTATTACCTGTTATGTTTCATTACCCCTATACAGACCTGTGAAGTAGCAGTAATGCTTAGTGGGAAATGAATAATTGCTGCTTGCAGCCATAAAGGATTAGTATGCCCATCAGTCTGTATTCATCAACATGTATTAATGCTTTAGGGTGCATTTACATCAGAGGCTGCACTACAACGCACAGCCACTGGCATGCGTTACCCTGACCCGGACCTGGATTGTAAACTGTGCCCATCTGTGACAAGGTTACTGCATTGGGGCTGCCCTGAAAAAAAAAACAGCCATCACAGTCCCAACGCACCTGGTGTGAATCGAGCCTAAAAGCCCAAGTCTCTATGTACAGGTTGTGTGTGTGTGTATATATATGTGTATGTATATATATATATATATATATATATATGTATATAAAATGCTGGCCACAGACCTTACAACCATCGCAAGACTTTTGTTGTGTGATGGTTGTAAGGTAATTAAAAATACGTACGATTTGCCCATCTTGGAGAGGCAGCGATAATCGCAAGGCCCACCCCGCTGAGGGGCGGGCTTCCGATGAGCGCAATGCTGAACGGGCAGTGTGCGCTTGCGCACACCGGCCCGTGCGGCATTTATCTTACAAACATGCCACACACCCGCCGACAATCGTACGATTCTCGGCGGGTTTTCAAACACGTTCCTAAGATAAAAGTCGTGCGACCCTACAGTAGAAACGGTCGCACGCCTTCCACACACCTTGCGATAATCGTATGATCGCGGGATTTCCCGCAATTATCGTACAATTATCGCAAGGTGTGTGGGCACCTTTATAGTCTATGGGTCGGACATCTGATTAAAAACAATGCACTCTCTTTGTGGCTGATCTCTTAGTTGAACAATTAGTAAGCAGATGACTGATGAGTGATTCTATTAGGTCAACGAGGGCTCCCTCCCATGGTTCATCTACAAATTGTTACATTTAATACAGTAACCCAAATAATGTAGGACAAGCACTGCCATAAAACCCATAATCTGTGCTCAAATAAAATGCGATGTGCTTTCCCTTTAATGATTTCATTGTCAAATTTGTCAGAAAGGAAGAACAGTTCTTTTAATAGGAAATCTTCAGACGGGAAAACAAAGAGCAGTAATTATGTCTGTGCGTTATAATTGCTTGCCTGGCTTCCCTCAGTAATTGTGCATAATAGGGCAGTGAGTAGTGGACTTGCACAGGACGTAGTGGGACCACCCAGATCTAACACTAGACACCATGTAAATCACTTTTGGAGTCCATCCTCAATTTGCAGAGTGCTATCACAAACTGAGTCCGTGTTAGTGGATAGAGTTCTCCTTTATAAAACATCACAGATTCCCCCTTCACAGTCCACATGGCTCAAACATTCAAAGGTCTTCCCTTCTCTTCTTGATAATCTCTCTGACCATTGCTGCCACATCTCCTTTCATACTTTCAAAATGCTCCTCCGGTCTCCAGGTTTTCACTACTTGACCCTGAGGATTAACCAGGTATTTCCAAAAATTCCAGCGCGGCTCCTTCTTTGTGGAATCTAAATGTAAAGTAATAATAATGGGTTATAAATTCAACATCAACGATTAATGTATTAGGAATTTAGCAAGAGAAAACTAAATTAGATTATGAGCCAAGCGACCAGTCAGAATAGTGTGTAACTCAATGTCCCCTTTCTATCCTAGCCCTATGTTGGAGGGACATAAAAGAAGTATGACCCCATACGCACAGGCTTCCTATTGGGGTAAAAAGTGACCACTCACTGTTTATTCCCTATTAATCTGACATAGTCCTCTCAGGTGTAACATAACCTCATTCAAAGAGCAAGTCCCCCAGCACCAACCTATTCTAAGCCAAACTATTCCCCCCAAGGGCTTCCTTACCTCTTACCAATGGCAACAGCCCCCTGTGGTGTCTCCAGTTGATGCAGAAATCTTGGTGTCCATGCTTATAATAGCTTCCCATAAACATGAATGGGCCCTATTCCAGTCTATGGAAAGATACTGTGCAAGGCACGGGCAGACGAAAGACAAAAGGTGCCCATACACTGCACGATTCTCGTACGAGAATCGCTGGAAATCCCGCGATCGTACGAGAGTCGTGCAGTGTGAATGAAGACGTGCGACCGTTTCTACTGTACGGTCGCACGTCTTTTGTCTAAGGAGCATGCTAGAAAACAAGCCGAAAATCTTACGAATTTTGGCTGGTTTGAATGATGCTCGGGAGACAAATGCCGAACGGGAAGGAGTGCGCACGCGCACACTGCCCATTCAGCATTGCGGTCATCGGAAGCCCGCCCCCCTGATCGCAAGTACGATCTGCCTGTCCAAGATGGGCAGATCGTACGTTTTTTAAATTACTTAACAACCATCGCAAGACTAAGGTCTTGCGATGGTTGTAAAGTGTATGGCCGCCTTAAGAATACAGCCAGAGGCCATCAGAAAGAGGTACGTAAGTACCTTGGAGGGGGATGTAGCCTCCCTAGAATAGGTCAGGGGCTAGGTAGTGGGAGGCTGGGAAATTTTTAGGCTCCATTCACACCTGAGCAGCTCACTGCATGTATTCGGCTGTACGGATATGCGCGGAGCAGCTCCAAACACAAAAAACAATGCACTTCAATGTGCATCGTTCACACCATTGCGGTGACCGCGCGGCACGAAACCGTGCGACAAATAGAGGAGAGGGTGAATCTTCCTAATGGAGACACAGACAGCAATACAAACCCTGCAGCTGTTTTAATCCCTCCCCACGCTACCGAAAACTAGAAAATACAATGGCATTATTGAATACAATCTCTTTTTGTTTAATACTAATCACTGCTGGATGATCACAGACACAGAGAAGACATCAGTGACAGGACCAGCGCTGAATAATGGAAAATTGTTTCATTTAGGTCATTCGTCTTTTCATTTGACCAAACAAAGCTGCAGCACAAAAAGAATATTTATTACAAAGGTTAAACATACAAAAGAAAACCAGGAAGAGGCTTCTTCAACCGGCCATTTTCCCATAAGGTTATGTGTGACTTTAATGCATTCTGTGAAGTGATTTTACAACCTCCCTTGTGTAGACATCCAGTAGTCCTGAGACTGCTGCTTTGTGCCACCATCATGTGTTGTCAGCAGCTCCATCAGACTCAGAGCTGTCACTCTATGGTATTCCCCTTGACTCCTCCCTGGCTGCTACATAAAAGGTTATGTATGGAGGTGAAAGGTGGGATGGAGGAGCTGGGCCAGCACAGACAGTAATTAGACCTTCTCAGAGGACATGAGGGATATGATGTGCAAAGAGGGAGGGGTGGTGCTTAGCAGTTTACTCTTCCTGGAGCAATTACATTTTCAAGTTTAAACTTCATTGCAAGTGAATAAAAAATAACTATGGAAAAGAAAAATGCAGTAAAGTAAGCATTTAAAATACTTGATTTTTTTTCTGCGATTTTTTTTACCTGCAACTATTTAAAATGGTAACACGGTCTGTTTAACGAGCTCCTGTTAAAGCAGAACATTTTTATTAACCCTTGTAGTGGGGCTAACCCCACACTGCAAAGGTTAAATGCTCGTTTTTGTCTACGTTCAAAAATAACAAAGTTATACTCACCCGATCCTCTGATCCGACCAGCTGTGACAGTGCTCCCTCCAGCCTGTCCCCTCTAACGCTGCAGTCGTTTAAGATCCCTGAGTCATCACATTCTATACACAGTGGGGGGAATTTATCAAACATCGATGTCGAGATTCGCCCAGCTGCGTGAGTGACAGCTGGCTCTGCCTATCTAGAGCCAGCTGTACCCGCCCCCTCCCCCGTCCGTTCTGACAGTCAGCGCTGGCAGATCGGAGCGGGGAGGGGGGAATTCAGCCCCTCCCCTGTCACGGCAGAGAGCCGTGACAGGATCGAGAGGTGAGCGAACGCTGGTATGTGTTCTCCCACCTCCCAATCTATTGAGCCGACCTGTGACAGTCTCATTGTCACAGGTCGGCTAGAACTTTGAGTTGAGTGGAAATCACTCACCTCATAGTTCTCCTTTAACTGTCGCATCTTGAAGAAGTAGTCATGTGGACTTCTTAAGTTGTGATTGTTTTCTTAAGTGATTTTGCCCAGTTTCAGACAGCCTCAGAACAAGTGCAGATGAAAACACGTGCAAAAAACATGCAACTGAAATAGTAGTGCAAGCTCTGATGAAAACAGGTGCAAAACACGCGCAGTTGGAAAGTAGTGTAAGCTCAGGTGAAAACAGGGGCACATCTTGAAAGACAGATTTGCACATAAAAAAATTATCTAAGAGGCTAAAACTGTCGCAAGTGCTTTGATAAATTCCCCCCACGGTCTATAGAATGTGTAGACGCTGAGGGACATACCATCGCTGCAGCATGGGAAGGGACAGACGGAAGGGACCGGCCTAAGGGCCCATGCACACCACATCCAGACCATCTCCAGACCAGATGGTTTCCGGAACCAAACTGCATCCTAATGTATCCCTATGCTATTTCTGGCCTCTGTTCACACCAGCGCAGTCCAGAACAGACCAGAGGCACTGCACGTCTCAGTTTGTCTGGTCTGGAATGCACTGAAATGCATGGAAATGCATCAAAAACGCACTGGAACGCACCTGAATGCCCATTTTAAGCAAAAAAAAAAGCAAAATCGTGGTAAAAACGCGGCAAAACACAATGCATTGCGTTCCAGATCTGGTCCTGAAAACGGTGGGAAGTTACCCGGATTTCTGCTTTATATAGAATGAATCTGTGTGGATCTATATGGGTTGGACTTGATATTTTTGGCTGCTATTGGAGCTTAGACAGGGAAATGTTGTCACATACCCCCTTCCACCATGTGAAAGTGTCTGAGGCTGGAGAATGGCCGCTCAGGTACTGACTGGCAAGGTCTCCGGAGGTACAGGGAAGCGGCAGTAGTTACATAGTTAGTCAGGTTGAAAAAAGAAACACGTCCATCGAGTTCAACCTATAGAGATATGAGAAAAAAAAGCCTAAACAACACTATGCCCACAGCTACCCCCCCTGTTGATCCAGAGGAAGGCAAAAAAAAACCCCCGTATAAAGCACGGTTCAATTTGCTCCAAAAGGGGGAAACAATGTCCTTTCTGATCCCATAAGGCAATCGGATATTCCCTGGATCAACAATCTCTGATGCCTAACATACCTATAAGAACTCAATATCCAGTAATATTCTGTGCATTTAGGAATACATCCAGAATTGTTTAAAAACAATTAACTAGGCTAGCTAGAACAAGCTCCCGGGGAAGTCTATTCCACATTTTCACAGCTCTAACTGTGAAGAAGCCTTTCCGTATGCAAACTTTAAACTTCTTTTCCTCCAACGCAAAGAGTGCCCCCTTGTCCTTTGCAGTGACCTTAAAGTGAATAATTTGGCACCAAGCTCACTATATGGACCATTTATGTATTTATACATGGTGATCATGTCCCCCCTTAATCGCCTCTTCTCCAGAGAGAATCTTGCCTCATAGCTGAGCTCCTCCATGGCTCTTATGAGTTTAGTTGCCAGTCGCTGCACTTTCTCCAGTTCGACAACATCCTTTTTGTGAACTGGTGCCCAAAACTGAACTGCATATTCCAGATGAGGTCTTACTAATGATGATAAAGTAGTATGTAAGTATTACTGTCTGGGGGGAGGGGGGGGCGCTATCTGCAGACACTACAGAGCAAATAGACAAAGTGACAGTGTCTCTTTAAATGAGGATTTACCCTTAGAGCCAAACTTTGGAAATAGTAAATATCGCCTGAAGAGGCCCATGTATTCTTACTTGAATCTAGGTGTGCTTTGTCTACTATGCAATAATTAGTGTGAAAGTTTGCCTCTGTGAAGGAGATTTTTGTAATAATGGCCGATCACTGCTGCTCTTTCTCCTTGTGCAGGGCGGCTGGCCTTGTCTCCTCCCCCTTCTGTAGTTTTTTCTGCTGGCAACCTGTAGTGGGGGGGGGGGGG